GGTCTCTGGAATGCTCAAATGAGGGTGTTGTGCTGCAGTTAAGATTTTGCGGAATAAGTTGTTGAAATCCCCCAATTTGGAACTGATGGATACCGGAGGCTCTATTCCCATATCTTGTGTCATCTGCAAAAAGATCCGTGTGTATAAACATATATATGTAATTATGTATGCAAGTATTCGAGCTATTTTCATTGACTCGGAGTTCCATAAGAACCCTACCCTGGTGGATTCTTGTATGGAAATTGGAGATGAATCAAGATCGTCTTTTGCAGAAACCATGAGGCAAGGGACCTCATACCCAGTGGCCTCACCATAAGTTGCAACTTCTACAAGCAACTGAGTCGCTCTCTTCCATGAGGACTCATCAGAACTGGAGAAAACAACTAACTCAATTATTACGTACAAACTACAAATAGAGAGTCAACCAATTAAACAGCAGGAAATTTACCTGTCATACACGAAAACAGCTATGTCACATGCAGCCAAGGATTCCTTGGATGAAAATAGCCCTTGAACTCCATCTTCTGGAATTTCCCTCATGATAAGAGTTTTCTTTGCACCCTACACTCAGAGATTTGGAACTATCAGATTAGTGACCAAATTACATACAGAAACTTAGAGAAAGCAGCCTTGAAGCATGTTGCCAAAAAATGTACAACCAAATAACATCTCCAATCTCTTGAATAGTAGTACGTCTGAACAGTTTTGTTTGAAACTTCCTAGTAAAAAAGTATGTATGTACCCATAGAAAAAACTCATCAAAGATATCTAGCTAGTTCCCATCTCGGTCCCCAAAATAACACTGAAGTTTGTCATTTTTGTTCAAATTTTGCACCTTGAAGATTTATTTGCAAGGACAAAATATATCCAAACTAAAATATAGTGATACAAATTGCATAAGTATACTGACTCACCCCAGATTCATCGACCATATTTACTGCATAACGCTCATCAGTAGTTGATTCCTGGTTATCAGCATATGACCTAGATCATGGAGAAACAAAACTGTAAACCAGATGGAGAGGTCATCTGAAGAAGAGGAAAATTAAACGTCTCCAGGCTTATAAACATAGAACTATACTCTCTTCTGTGTGTAATTTGAAAATGCAATAAGTTGTGGTACAAGTTAACATGACAAACCTTCCAAGAAAGCAATTCAGCAATGAAGATTTTCCAGCATTATTAGGTCCAAGAACAAAGCACTGGAAAACTTTTCTTTCACATTGCTGCTTTTTGCGATCTAAACGTCTTCTCCTAGTAACACGAATGGCAGTCGATGGATCACCCGGGAATCCAATGTAAATCAAATTTTCCACACTCCGAGCCGGTTCTAATAGTGTCATTAGTGACCACTGCAAGGATAAAATTGAAAGATTAGCACACATATAAACTTTGAATTAGTTTAATGAACAAAACTTTGGCCTAGATAAGAAATCGACAAAAAATCGTAAAACGACATATAATCCAATGATAAATTGTATATGTTAAAAGAAAATAAAGAGAGAATTGTGTGACATTTTAGTCTGTCAATCAACAAAAGCAAAGAAAAATGAAATAAAGAAGGATGAGTATATGTATAATGCTTCTTTATGTTGTAAAAGAGGAGTATTGATTACCATTGACAGGAAAGCGTCAAATGATAGTCCTCCAAGGGCAGTTTTCTCCGCAGCATCCTCATAAGGAGCTTCCTTCCAAGGACTGCCATTCACAATTAAGTATGGCACGGAAAATAATGGAGATTACCATAATCAAAATTACACGGTTTTTGCCTTCTGGAGGTGTGAAAGGTACCTTTCAGGTGCAGTTGAAAAAAGATCCTCGATCTCTTGAGGTCTCAGATTATTATCCTGCAAAGTGCAAATTCAATCTGAGAAATGTATTTGTCAACTCAACACTACGCCATTAATAAGAAAGGAGACTTACCTGGTCGTCATCAAACAACATATACATTCCTTTCAGGAATTCGATTGCTGCATTCGTCAACTCAAAACTCTACAAAATCAATGAACACAAACATTAGCTGCACAATACCAAGGAAGGCAAGTTGATGTGAGCTGTAAGGTAACCGTGTTCCAGTAAATTCTTATTTCTGATAAGATTCCAAATTTAATATTCGATATACAGCTCTTCCAGTAATAGATTATTAAAACATCAACAAATACAATAATGAAGCAACAACGGATAGTATTTCTGCATATTTACCTGATCGGGAGCTCCCTTGAATATTGTAGATGGGAGCAATTCTTCAGCAAGTCTTATATCATTATTATACCCAAACTTCCTGAGTACAGTCCATGTAGTCTCGAGCCTCCCTTTCTCGATAAAAAGTGCATGTAAAAACAGGAAGCCAGTCACTGTCAGTCCTCTTTCATTCACACCTTCTGGCAACTTTTCTTGCACAACCCTCTTAACACCTTCAATTTCAGAAGGCTGCAATGGTGCATGGAAACACTTGACCTATTGTAAAACAACTATTAGGTGCGTCATGGGGATAACAAAATTAAAATCCAAGCTTCTTTTTAAAATCTGAAGGATAGGCCTAAGCCAATTCAATGACGAAATAGCAAAAGCACATGAAACACGAGAAGAGCAAATATAAGAACCTGAAAATCATTTAGCTCAGCCTCGCTAAGAGCACCATCTCTGTCATGATCACAGAGTATAAAGATACGCTTCAATGCCCTTACACACCGGGGCTTCAGTGCCTGGGAATCTTGATCAAACAGAGGTCCTGTTGGGTGAAGGACAGTCTTTTGTGCATAATAGAAAACTTCTTGTGCCTACAGGAAAGCTTTTTCATTAGGATGATAGTTCAGACCTGAAATAAAATTTGTAATTACCACTGAATGTTGTTTTCTGACAATGCATTTCCAGTTTATGCCTGATAAAAGTCCAAACCAATCACAACAATATCCAGTTTCAGACAAAAATTTAGTGCACCTAAAGTCCTTGAAATTTCTTAGTAAGACAAGCACATGCCTAAGCTACCTCAGACCAATATTTGTACCATGTTCGAACTCAGAAAAATATTACATATCAAGAGGAAATCAGAAGTCATGAAACCTGGAGTTGCTTGAGGGCAGAACACTCGATACAAGTCTCTATCTCCCGAAACTGCTGCATTATAGGTGACATCACTTGTTCGAGGCTGACCTGGTTATTGTCGTCTCTGAAGTCAAGCCTACACCCTGCTACTATAATAGGAATTTTTACCTGCTCAAAACGAGCACAAGCCAATCTTAATAAGAAACAGAAAAAGTTTAAGTCACCCCGAATCTTTTACACTTTCTAGCACTAGGACAATGATATGAGAAACGCACAAGATATTGTAAACCTTCTACCCACAAAAAGATTGACATGACCAAACTGAAACAGGGAGAGGAAAATCAAACCTCCAATCGCCGAAGCTCTGGAAGCCAGTATTCACTCAAACGTTCGAGAGTCTCAGGTCGATCACATGCATATGTCAAAACTACTGCATCTGCGCGCTTCAATTCCTCGGCAACCATGTCCCTATCTTCTGGCCTGAACCCACAAACAAAAACATCATACTTCAAGAACCTCAACAAAGCTGCCAAAGCATAAATATCCTAAACCCTTCTTTCGGAATCCCAGTAACAGTAACAAAACAGTTGGCACAGTGCTATTCCAACAACAACTATCATATGAGCTAATAGTATCCTTTCCCGTTCAACATAAGGTCATTATCAAGTAATACCTCGAGGAAGTGTCGACAATGGTGACGGGTATACCATCAGGGAAGAATTCAACAGGCAACTTGTAGTCAGGCAAAACAGGAGGTACATTGGGAGGGAAAGAATCAGTAGCTGCAGCGACAATCAAGCTTGATTTTCCAGTACCCTTATCTCCAACCACAACGATTCGTACAGATTTGGGTGAACCAGGACAATCAACCGTACCAGCAGCGTATCTCGCCATCTGAAACTGCAACACCATTAAACAATTAGAGGCTCGACATCAGAAATCAAGTACAAAGATTGACAAGATTACTGAAACTTGGTAACAAGATTATAGAAACCCAGAAACATGAGCATCAAAAGAGAACAAGATCGTGAAGAAAATGACGAATCCAGAAGCATAGATAACAATGGAAAGAGTAACATCAAGGAGAAGCAAAACTAACATAAAGATCAAAGATTCGATGAAAGAAACGAGAGATAAACCTCAAACCTAGAACTGGAGAATGAGAGAAGAAGAGAAGCACGAAGATTAAAAACCCTTAGAAAACCCTAGATTCTCTAGTTTAGGAGAAAATGTGGCGGTGACGATTTGCCGTGAAGGAGGAGAAAAATTAGTAAGCTCTTTTTTTTTTTTTTTTACTTTGTCTGTTTATTCTAGTGGCATTTCCGTAAAAACCACCCCTGTTTAATTTTTACTAACATACATATAAGGTAGTTTTTTTTGTAAAAGGAATTTTTTGTTTTTATTATTTAGTAAAATTGTTGTATTTGTCCATTTACTTCTTGGATTTTTTTACTATTGGTTAATTAGGTACAGCCGTGCAGCCAAATGTACGACTGTACCTAATCGGATCGATTATGGGTATAAGTAAGTTATTTTATTGGATTTTGTATATGTTCACATGTGGAGGTAGTTTGGAATATACTTATAAGGTAGTTTTTTTGTAAAGGGAATTTTTGTATTTATTATATAGTAAAATTGTTGTATTTGACCATTTACTTCTTGGATTTTTTACGATTGGTTAATTAGGTACTGCCGTACAGTTAAATGTACGGATGTACCTAATCGGGTCAATTATGGGTATAATTAAATTATTTGATTAGATTTCGTACATGTCCACATGTGGGTATTGTTTGGAATATAACCAAATAACTTAAATCTCTAAAAAATATATAAATATTTTGGATATTAAGTATAATCAAGTACAAAATACACGAACCGTGGAATATGTACTTTTCGAGAATTTATATAACTAGTTTTCATCCTTAAACTGATGGTCAATAGTTATCAACTTTGTTGCGTGCTATAATTTTTAATCGGAACTTGAGAAGATTATTTGCCAACTAAAATTAATATAAACCTAAATCTCTCGTAAAATGCATCATCAACATTGTCTGTATTGATTGTTTTAGGTAAACATATTTCAAACAACAATTCATCAAGACATTCTGTAATGTTGACAAACAAAAATATATTTTTTACGACAATTAAAAATGTGGATAAACTTTTTTATCAATATTCTTAATTAAAGAGTACTACTATTTTTAAAGCAGTCGCGCATCAAATCACTATCACTAGATTCTCCTTCAACATTTTGACATTCAGCTTTAGCTTTTTCTCCATTTTCCATTGTAACTTGAATATCATCCATGACAACGTCTTTACAATGTGTGATGGCACTACAATTAAGTGTTATAGCATACTCATTCACTGTGGTTCCACGAAAACCAATATATTTCACATTGCCAATTGCCACTGCTGAATCCTAAAAACATAAATACATAAGTTTCCACTATTTATTAATACTTTCAAAATAGTACATTGTTGGCATTAATAATGTGCTATAATATAATATAGCCCATTTACAAAATATTTACCTTAGTGGCATCAATATGTCCTTTATCAATATATTGTTGGTCAATGATAATTGGATTTCTTGTGTTAATGAGTGTGATATTCTCAAAACTTATGTTTCTTGCATAACCTTGTCCACCCTAAAAATCCAAATTAAAATTAAATTTCAACATATTGTAAATGATTATTTTATTTATTTAAATAAGAAGTAAAAATTACTCTCTCCGTTTCGTTTTAGTTATCGTTTAAGGTTTTTGCACACAAATTAAGAAAAACATTAAATTTTCTGTTTTACCCTTTACTAATATATTTTATAAAAAATTTCATTGGCCAAAACATTAAAACAGTAGGGATAAAACTGGAATTTTCACCAAACATTTGCATTGAAAACCTAAAACGACAACTATTATGAAACAAAATTTAAATCCTAAAACGACAACTAAATTGAAACGGAGGGAGTAGTATATAAGAAAAAAACAATACCTGCCATGTCTTAATTCTAGCTCCATTCATCGTTTCATTAAAAGTACAATGAGTCACATGAACATCACTAACTTCGGCATTTGTTCCATCAGCTCCTAGACTTCCTACACTGTTATCCAGTTTTATAAAACAAATTTAATTAATTATGCATTTTTGTTTTTGAAATGAAATCCTTTTATTTATAAATATTTATTACTATTGTAATCTAAGAAATTACCTTATTCCATGACCAGGTCCACAATTAATTTGTGTGATGTTAATACCAGAACTTCCATTGTCGATTGCTATGCAATCATCCCCTGAGAAATCAATGATTGAAATGCATAAGATTGTTATATCATCTATATTCTAAAAATATTAGAACTTAATTTCCCACCATAGAATTAACAAATGCATAAAAATGCTAGAGCTATTGTAGATTAGTAGTTTGAATAATCCATCATTTAAAAAATATGATTTATTTATTTTCTACTATATATACATGTGTATAATAAAACGTCTAAATAATTTATAAATAAGTACACACCAGTTTGAATTGTAGAGTCGGATATTTTGATATTAGTCGAGTAACTTATATCAATCCCATCTGTGTTGGGACTTTTCTCAGGTGCCAAAATATTTATTTTCGATATTGTAGCATAATTACATCCTTTGATTGATATATGAGTTTTTGGACTATCAATCGAAGTTATCCCGTTTATTGTAAGATTATCACATTTGTAAATATGTAGTGCCTGTAAATAAAATTAAAAGTAGTTGTTTAGAGAGTAAATTTATGACGATCATAATCAAAAGAAAAAAACTAAAAAGATTGCATGGTAAATTTGATAAACTCACTGTAGGTCGTTCAGAAGTGTTTAGATTTATCTGAAAATATATAAAAAATTTAATGATTTTGATGTAACGATGAAGAAAAAAATGTTAATAAGTAACAAAAATTATGATATAACAGACTCTAATTACCTCCCAAAAGGAAGAACCGCGACCATCAATCTTTCCAGAACCATCGATCATTAGACTAAATACAGATGAAAAACTAATCCACATTTGAGATTTGGGGTTGGACCATGTTTTGATGTTGCTAGGTGCGACAATGATACCATCCAACTTCAAATAGATAAATAAAAGCAAATTTTGTTGGTGTTCCTAATTTAAAAAAAAAACTTAGTAAATTAATTAACTATCAACATACCTGAATTTTTATGGACGTAGATTTACAAGGGCCTTTGAACTCAATAGGTTGAAGCAAATATGTTTTTCCAGAGGGAATAAGAAGTGTATTTATGTTATCTTCTCCACCACATGTAGCGTTCCATGCTTGTATAAAAGCCTTTTAATATATAGCTAGTTAGTTAGTTAGTTAAAAGTAGCAACAAAATTTGAAATAAAAAGTAATAAAAATTAAAAAAATATTTTTTAAAAACATATATTTTGGGTAGGTCTGGGCAAAAAAACCGCTAACCAAATAACCGACCGAACCGAACCGAAAAAACCCGAACCATATCCAAACCGAAGTTTTTAAAATAACCGAATGGTTAGTAAAATTCCCTATTCAAACTAACCGAAACCGAACCGAACCAATAACCAAACGGTTAACCGAAATATCCAAAAACCTATAAGATTCCTCAAAAATAATATCCAAAACTATAATTATAAACTCAAAATATTAATTATTTTTAGAATCAAAACAATCAAATACTTTAAATAATCAAAATATTCCAATATTGTTTGTTATATTTGTCAAAATTAAATACTCTTTTACAAAATTGAATCAAATTTTAATTTTCTTTCTAATATTTTTCTTTTTTTGTATTTTCTTTTTGTATTTTTTTCGGTTAATTTTGGTAAGTTTCTGTTATATTCGGTAAATTTTGGTTATTTTGGGTAAAAACCCGAACCAAACCGAACGTGATAAAAGTTTGATTAGTTACGGTTATCTATTTAAATATTCAAACCGAACCGAACCGAAAGGTAACCTAACCGAACCGAACCGAAATTCCTAAAATATCTGAATGGTTATTATATTACCATATCCAAACTAACCGAAACCGAACACAACCGAACCGAAACCGAATGGTTGACCGAATGTCCAGGCCTTTTAGGTATAAAGACAAATAACTTACATTTGAATCATCGGTTTCACCATCTCCTTTAGCACCAAATTTGAGTACATTGTAGTTTTGGCCGTTTACAAGACCAAAATAGATAAAATTTATCAATATTGATATACGTAGTATGGTTTCCTAAAACCCACAAGAAGAAAAAATGTTAGAATTATCATGTAGCAAACAAATACTATTGGAAAAGTATATTGATTTGATATGTACCATTGTGAAAATAGAGATGATAAAAATCTATTGATGTATAGCCCGGGCGACTGTTTACCAAAAACACAAATCTCTGCAAAGACAAGACTTCTTCCAGTATTTAGTAGTGAAGGAATATAGGTAGTGTATATGTATGTGTTACCATCATATATATATACACACAAAAATACCCATTTACGTTTATTGAATCATGCATTTTCTTTCTCCTTTTCTTGATCTATTTTTTTGGTCAAAAATTCTTTCTCCTTTCCATATATCTAAATTGTGCCTAAATCATTTGCTTCCTAAATAATAACTAAATTCTTTTTCTAGTTTTTGAATACATTGAATTATACATCTCCCTCTTATTAAATACTTATTGAATACAAACGTAGGTAAACAAAAAAAATGTTAAATACAACGTTTCAATAGCAACATATTTTATTTAATGGCAAAAATATCATTTAATAGCCCAACTTTCAAATTGTGGCCGTTCCAGACACCAACTTCATATATGGCAATTTTAAACATGAAGATATCGTTGACCAACCGTTTGAACCATAAACATTTGTTGACCAGACTAAAAAGACAAACCGTTATCAGTCGTTTACAGATTATCTAACATCCGTTAACCACTCCAAAACGACGTCGTTTTTGTCTATTAAAAATAAATTACAAACTAAGATTCGAACCCATAACTTCTAAAAAAAAACAAAGGGTACTTAACCAATTTACCTATAGCGTTTTATTGGTAATTCTATGGAAACACATATACTTATATATTCTTAGAGCTTTTCTTCTTCATCTTTAACCTACGAAACAAAACATCTCCATAGCCGCCTCCGAATTTGTGTTCTCTCTCGTATGATTCTCTTTAATCTTAACTATATCGTTTTTTTGTTGATTGAAAAGATCTCGAATTTGCTAAATTCAATTCATCGGAACTTGTTTCTATGGACACCATTGATGGATTCGTCGATTCATATGAAATCAGCAACACAAACTGCACTACTTCTTCGTCGTCTCACAGGCACCTTCGTTGTCGCACCTTATGTATCTGCTCTGCAATTGCTCTCACCGGATCTGATGTATCTAACGGCATCCGAATATATAATTATGTGTTTGTGAATAATAGTCATTTACACACTCTAGCTTAGTTGGTTCAGTAAGTTCAGGGAGCACTCACAAGTGATGGGTTCGAATCCCTCGGGAATAAACTCGATGAAAGCTTAAACGACGTCGTTTTGGGGTAGCTAACGGAGATGTTAACAGATGTTAGATAATCTGTTAACGATCGATAACGGTTTGTCTTTTTGGCCTGGTCAACGAATGTTTATAGTTCAAACGGTTGGTCAACGATATCTTCATGTTTAAAATGGCCATATATGAAATTGGTGTCTGGAATGGCCACAATTTAAAAGTTGGACTATTAAATGACATTTTTCTCTTTATTTATTACAAGATTATGATATTAGATTTCGTTTCATAAAATTACTACACCTAGTGACATAGGAAAATGACACGAGACCATCCTATTGAGTGGTAACGCGGACGAATGACGGGTCTATTGCGTTTCTTTTGGACTGTAACCATGTTTTCCACTCATGATAATTCATATAGTATATGCGATATTGCGATCTATATATGATTAAAAAGGTGGTTCAAAAAAGTTTACGTAAGACCTCCTTGGTGAATCGCATGGGTGTATGATACACATCAGTTTGCCGTTGTTATACTTGTCAAGTACAATCCGTGTATTTATTTTTTCAAATAAAAATTTGTATGAGTTAACTTATATTAAAAATTTTATGCAGTAAACTATTTTATCTAAAATTTTATGTTTTCAACCACTTTTTATATTTTATTAACTATTTAAATATTTTGTTTTGCACCACTCATTATATTTTTTTACCATTCAACATATATTATATACCATTTTATCCGTTTGATTCATATTTATTCCGTTATTATCCATAATTTATAGTAAAAACTGCTCGATTTATTTTGTTTGTTTGATCATACCATCTTATATGTTTACATCATTAGAACAAGGGTTGAACGTTCGGGTTCGGTTCGAGTTTTTCAGTTTGGGTTTAACCTTATAGACTCTATTTGGATATTTATAATATTTAGGTTGGATTAAAGTTAGTTTTTTTCCGGTTCAGTTTGGATCGGATTTTACCTTTCAGATTCGATTCCATATAGATTCGGTTCGCATCCAAAATTATCGAAAGTATTTGAGAGTATCCGAATTATCCGAAAAACTCAATTAGAAAATATCCAAAAATATCCGTAAATACTCGAAAATATCTGAATTATCTAGAAGATCCGGTAAAAAAAAAAAAACAAATTACTTGAAAATACTAGTTCGAGTTTTAATTCGGATTGGATATTATCCTATACCCAAAATACCTAACTCTAAGCACATTCAAATACTAGAACCGATTCGGATCGGAATCGAGTATTTTCGGTCGGATTAGGATTCAGATTTCGAAGTCGGCACTTTTGCCTAACCCTGATTCGAAGAATTATTGAGTAGAGGCCGGTTTTAAACATGAAAACCACGTGGCCGGACTTTGGTAAATGATTTGACCGACTAAACCAAAAAGGAATAGAGAAAAAAGAAAAATTGGAAACGAGTGATGATGATGACGTCAACATCGCTAAAAACAATCTTACACGGCTCTGTTTAAAATCCCAAGACGGAAACACTTTGTGATCCCATACCATCATTTCTCTCTTGGAAGAAGAAGAAAAAGAAGAAGAAGATATGGGTGTTGATTTGGATTTGGAATCTATCTCCGAAGCCACCTCCGGAGCCATTGGATCTCTTCTCAGCACTACCATTTTATACCCTCTTGATACCTGCAAATCCAAGTTCCAAGCCGAGATTCGTGTTCGCGGTCAGCAAAAATACAGGTCTCTCCTTCTTCTCTCCTTCTTCGTTTTCCATTTGATTGCGACGCGATGATGATCTAGAATTTGAGAATTATGCATCTTTATGTCTTGGCATCGCGCTTCAGGAGCTGGGTTCCTGCTGAATTGTTGAAAACGGTTTTGTATTCTGGGTTTTGATTTCTATGGTGATCTTGTGTAGATCCTCTTCTGGATCGTAATTTAGAATCTGGGTTAGGTTTTATATTGAATTTAGCTGAGAAAGTTCACTTCTTTGATCAAGTCTTTTCAATGAGCTTAAGCTTTATGAATCACTATCTTTGATTGTGGTTAGAGAATGTTGAGTTTCTTGAGTATCTAAAGCTCTTGTGTTTGTAACGTTTTTCAGATACCTGTCAGATGTGTTTTGGGAAGCAATTTCATCAGGAAATGTTCTCTCCTTGTATCAAGGCCTTGGGACTAAGAATTTGCAGTCCTTTATTTCGTCCTTCATCTATTTCTATAGTTATAGCTATTTCAAGAGGTTACATTCTCAAAGGATTGGTTCTAAGTCTATTGGAACAAAGGCAAATCTGCTCATTGCTGCTGCTGCTGGGGCTTGTACCTCTGTGTTGACCCAAGTATGTTTTATTTTATACTCAGCTCTGCTTCAAACTATGCTACGTTTGGCTGTTTTATGCCACCCTTTTTGCTTTGGTCAAAAGTTGTGAATCTTTTTAGTTTCTTTGTTTCCTACTCCGTTTTCTATCTTCTCTAAGCATAATTACTTCTATGTTTGTGTAGCCCCTAGATACAGCTTCATCGAGGATGCAAACAAGCGAGTTTGGAAAATCTAAAGGGTTGTGGAAGACTCTAACCGATGGTTCATGGGGAAATGCATTTGATGGCCTTGGGATTTCTCTTTTATTGACCTCGAATCCAGCAATTCAGGTACCATTTTCATTTAAACCACCTTCATATTTTACTGATTTAGTTTTGCTAGGCGTTACCAAAAATAACGTGCTTCTCTTTGTAGTATACAGTGTTTGATCAGCTGAAACAGAACCTTCTTGAGAAAAGAAAGGCAAAATCCAGCAAAGATTCTTCCCCTGTAGTCCTCTCTGCCTTTATGGCGTTTGTGTTAGGTGCGGTCTCAAAAAGTGCTGCCACCGTCATCACATATCCAGCAATCAGGTATTAGCTTCCGGAGAATCACTCAAAGTCATGAGATTTTACAGCTGTGCATCAATCAAGACTCTTTCGGATAATACTGATATATATATATACACATTCATGGGCTTTGTAGGTGCAAGGTGATGATTCAAGCAGCAGATGACTCAAAGGAAAATGAAACGAAGAAGCCCAGAAAAAGAATCAGGAAAACGATCCCCGGGGTAGTCTATGCTATATGGAAAAAAGAAGGGATCTTAGGATTCTTCAAAGGCTTGCAGGCTCAGATCTTAAAGACAGTATTGAGCTCGGCGTTGCTACTAATGATCAAGGAGAAAATCACTGCAACCACATGGATTCTCATTCTAGCAATAAGAACTCTGTTTGTCACAAAAGGTAGGTTGAAAAGTCCATAAAGATAGCCCTTCCGCAAGAGTCCCAAGCCCAAGCAAGAGCAAAGTCATTTGTTTGGCGATCTGAATCGAATGATTTTCGTGCAGGCAAGTATTGTAGTCTTTCTCATTTTAAGAACTATTGATAATTTTTAGTAAAGATCTTATTCTAGGTCCACATAAAGCTTCATGTTGTTGCCAGATTGAGTTTCTGGGCTTAGAGATTTTTCTCTGGTTATTGTGTAGTTTATGTTTGTTTTCTTCAGCTGTAATAAATATGGGGATTTCTACTTTTCTCCAAATTTTCATGTACTCTTCACTATAGATCAATCTCTGCACAAACAAAGACATCATATTCTGATTTCCATGTCACAAAGCCTTTCAAAAGCATATCTTCAAAAACCAGTATACAGGCTGAAGAAAATGTGATAGAAAGAGCCACAAAGTGTTCTCTACCAAATAATTTGAAAAACTGACCAACAAAGACGACAACAAATTCTTCAAAGAAAAACTATATTAATAGTGTCATTACATACAAGATTAAGAGATGAGATCTATATTTGCATCATAACGTAAGTTGATCTACTTGCAAAATAAACGATCTACTAGAGTAACAGAGTAAATTCAGCACACAGTTTCAGAGGAAATTCTTCAACCTCAAGAATTTATTTAAAATTTTATTAAACTTAAGCCGGTTAAATGGAGTAGTCATCTTCGATTTCCATTTTCCTCGACGCAAAAACCGATGAGACAGCAGCTCAGAGGCAGTACCTCTCTCCTTAGGGTTCCTTGCGAAACACGTTTGAATAAACTCCCTTGCATCGCAAGGCAAACTCTCGGGAATCTCTGGAGCATTACCATTAGAGAGGATAGACACAAAATCGTCAGGATTAAACCCTAGCCATGGCTTCTTACCCACATACATCTCCAACACTAAACACCCTAATGACCACAAATCTAGGGTTTTCTTGGCAACACCGTCTTGAAGAGACTCCGGCGGCATGTAATTAGGGGTTCCAACAAAAGGGTATTCGATTTTCCAGTGATCAGGAATTTCTCCGACTTCTAACGAGATTCCAAAATCAGAAATCTTCAATTCGTAAGAATCTCTACACTTGAAGACAAGGAGATTATCTGACTTGAGATCACAATGAACATAACCGTGGCTATGAATTGATACCAAACCTTCGAGAATCATACGCGTGAAGTCTCTTATCATCAAGTCTGGTAATTTTCTATCTGTGTAATTATTCATGAAATCGCTTAAACTACCTTCGGTTGCGTACTCAAGAAGCAACTTGTAGACTCTGTTTCCCTTATAGTCAAAACCCTCTTCCAAATCGTTACCAAAGTATTGTATGATTCTCGGACATCCTCTGAGTTCGGAAAGAATCCGAATCTCTGTAAGGAGAGAGTCTTCTTCATCGGAGCTTTTTACGGCGGCGAGAAACGAAGAGCCGTCGCTTTTTGTGTACTTGAAGAGATCAACAAAACTGTAAGCACCTTCACCTAAAAACTTGATGTATTCTTCGTTTGATTCCATCTTTGGAATGTAACAGTGTTGTTCTATATAGGGTTTGTTTCTTCAAATTCGAAACGAGTCAGAACCTGAAAGTGAGAGAAAGAAAGGAGAAGAAAATTGAAAGTTTTATAGAGTTTAGTTTAGGGTTCAAGTCGGTGCATGACCAGTTTTTTTCGTTTGATAATATATTGCCGATTCTTTTTGTGATATATTGCTTGCAACGAGAGAGAGAGTAAAAAAAAAAAAAGAAACTTTTTGGAGAGTTGATCACTAGATTGTAAATCTCGTTCCCTTGATTTTGTTTTATTTTACTTCTTGAATTTTTTTCACATTGCATTAAGTGTTATGACTTGTGCTTGTGTCAGATTGTCTTCTTCTTTCTTGGCCCATTAAACCAAAATTGTTTATGTAAAAAAAGTGTTACCGAATCGAATTTAGGACCTCCGAATCAAACTCTAGTTCGGTTTAATTTGGAATAGTTTTCTCCAATCCACACAACCCAAAAATTAGTAGTTCCAAACCGAACCGAACCATTTAGCCTGAACACCCAGACCTAGACGCTATGATGAGAATTTGTTTTTTTTTTTTTAAGTTTTTCAATAGATTTTTAGAAGGAAATTATAACCCGAATAAATTGGGGATTGGGCCCTGTGCTATATTCCAATTTTTTTTTGCATGATGGCCTAAATGTTTAACACTTAAAAAATTATATTCTATTTTATAATTATTTGAATATTTTGGACTCTCAAATACAAAAAAAAATAATTAAAAAAATGGGACTTTGTGCTTTTGCACACTCAGCACACCCCAAGAACGGGCCCTGAACCGAATAATAAGTGGAGTTACAAAGTAACCAAGAGAAAGAGAAGAGATTTTCGGTGAGGCATTGAATGCAGGAGAAGAGAAGTGGCCGTCAATCACCGACGGTCTCCGCTCATCGGACATGGCCTAATCCGGTAGAATCTGTTGATGTAGGCAGTTGATACATTCAATGTACCAGTTCAAAGTACTACAAAAAAAGATATAACAGAGTTGAAGATGGTTGATACGTGGTGTTGGAATGGTCAATCGACGAGCTAAGAGATATTTCCAGCACTGAGAGCTTGAATAGATTCTTTTTATAGAAAAAAAAATTGAAACATGAAGAAAATAGATAATTTTCTATTCAATAAAGAAGAAAAAAAGAAATTGTCAATTCTATTAGGATTAATAGGAACTTAGGCTTGTATAGCTACGACCTATATGCATATAGAGGTGCTAAAGTTTTGTAGAGGTTAGCACAAAAGAGCAAGAGAATTCTTTGACATTAAAGTTAGGGAAACTTATAATGACTTTAATTATTAGAATGTCTCATAAAATATGGGGGTTAGACTAGTTATTTTCATGACGATAATACCCTTGCTCTCTTTGTTAGGAAAAAAAGAGTCAAATTTACCCCTAAAATTTTTCGAAAAACGTCAGAAAAAAATTCAGGAAATTTTTTTGGTTTTTGAAAAGTCTGTTGGGTTCGTTATGATAGATTTATTTTAAATGACAGACTTATTTATCAACGACAGATTTTTTGTGACAGATTTTTTATCTCTCACAGACTTAATTTAACAGGTTGTGGCAAACTTAAGTTAACACCACAGACTTTCATCACTTTGATAGATTTATTAAAATTAGTGGCAGATTTATGTTCCTAGTGGCCTCAGACTTTAAATTTTCATAAAAATATCTGTCATCAAGTGACAGATTTGTTTTTGAAAAAATAATTACCTCTAATCTATATATATAATGGGAGAGTTTCTCTCCTCTTAAGGTGTCCACATCATCACCAAATTAATATTATGGATCCTACTAATTAATAATTATGTCAAATATTTAATTTCATGTTTAATTACATCTCATTATCAAAGAAGTAATCATCAATTAATGCACAGTTTTAAATAAAGGTTATTTGAATAATAATAACACAAGTGTAACATATTTACATATAATAATGGGAGAGTTTCTCTCCTCTTAAGGTGTCCACATCATCACCAAATTAATATTATGGATCCTACTAATTAATAATTATGTCAAATATTTAATTTCATGTTTAATTACATCTATATATATAATGGGAGAGTTTCTCTCCTCTTAAGGTGTCCACATCATCACCAAATTAATATTATGGATCCTACTAATTAATAATTATGTCAAATATTTAATTTCATGTTTAATTACATCTCATTATCAAAGAAGTAATCATCAATTAATGCACAGTTTTAAATAAAGGTTATTTGAATAATAATAACACAAGTGTAACATATTTACATATAATAATGGGAGAGTTTCTCTCCTCTTAAGGTGTCCACATCATCACCAAATTAATATTATGGATCCTACTAATTAATAATTATGTCAAATATTTAATTTCATGTTTAATTACATCTCATTATCAAAGAAGTAATCATCAATTAATGCACAGTTTTAAATAAAGGTTATTTGAATAATAATAACACAAGTGTAACATATTTACATATAAAATACTTACATTAATTTTTTGTTAATATATAACTTAAAATGAACATAATCCCTAAATATTTAATTAAGAAATAAAAAATAATTATGAAAATTTCATAGAAATACCAATGTTATTTAAGATGGACAAAAGGCTTCTTAATGAAATTTATTATACAATTACAAACAAATAATAACTTATTAAAAATAAAAAACGTTTAAAACTATCACTTTTAAGAATAATAAGGAAACCTCAAATATAATTTAGGATGAAAAAAAAATTGAATTGAAATGGAAGGCTATAAGAGTTTTTTTTTTTAATAATAAGAAGATATTCATATTTCATGGAAACATTAAATTAAAGAGATAATAATGAAGTGGAAGAAATTTATTTAAAATAATATTATTTTTAGATAAAAAAATAAATGGTTAAATTTTATAGTAAATGTATGATTGTAAAAGTTTTTTAAGATATAAGAAATAATTCATATTTAAAATTAAAAATTATATTTCAAGAGAGTAATAGTATAAATTCACATTGACGAAAAAATATAAAGATTAATTGTATCTTAATATTAAATTATAGTAAAATATAACAATAAAAATAATACAATTATATCTATATTATTGTTTGTTTTCTAAATAAAAAAGTGAATATGTTTAAATATAGGTAAAAATCTAAATAAGTACTGTTGAGAAAATTTTAACAAATATATATCTTTCGTAAAATTATATTACGTTGAAGCATGAAAACCATATAATTAATAAAAGAAAATAAACTAAAAAGATGAAAATGAGAAAATAGTTTTCAGTTAAGAATCAATTTAAAGTTTTATTAAAGTGAGCATAGAAGATAAAACAGAGTAGATGTTGGGAAGCGAACAAGTGCATCATAGAAGATGACGAAAAATATTTGAAGAGAAATTGAGTAATGCTTGAAGCATCGGATATATGTATGCACATGATAAACGATATTCATCCGATCTATGTATGCATTAGCGGATAGTTTGGTTTAGTAAACCAGACTATCATATTCAACATCAGGTTAAATCGTCGAGCCATGTAAGCGTAGTAGGATAGATAAGATTAAGACATTCATGATTTTGCCAAAACTTTCCTTAAGGTATGATGGTCTTGCTTCAATAGGTAAATAATGCTCTCCAAACCTATTGAAGCGGCATGAATATTACGTTTAAATATTTTCATAAATTGATGTCAAACTCAGCAAATTTACTTTTAGTATGAGGTACGAATAGGTCAAAACATCAAGACAGTTATACTTACAAGATTTGTTTATGGAAATAACTCTTTTTTGATAAAAAAAAAAAAAAAATTCATTGATGACTACCGAGACCGATTCATCTTATATAATTTTTGTTATTATGCGGTACCTACTAAATATATTTTATAATATCTATGTTGTATATTGTTTTGTAAAACAAGTATGAATGTATATAGTTTTTAAAATTCAAATGATTATGATTATTCTTAACATTTTGTATTATACCCAGTTAAAATTTGATATCCCGCGCAACGCGCGGACGAGTAAATCTAGTTACTAGAATGACTTAGTAGTGATAACAGATTTTTTTTATGTTATGACAGTTTTTTTTTTAAAACAAAAAAAACTGTCAAGTGATAGCAGATTTGTCATTAAAAAATAAAAATTGCTAGATTGACTTACAATCACAAATGAAATATTTCTGTGATGACAGATTTTATTTACATTACGACAGATTTAGGATTAGTTCAAAGAAAACTGTCACATTACGACAGATTTAGTGATGAAAAATAAATTGCTGGAATGACTTCGTATAGTGATGACATATATGTTTTATGCAATGACAGATTTTAATTTTTATTCATGTTATGACAGATTTTTTATACATATTTGATGACAGACTTTTCATGATGGACTACATGACAGACTTTTTAAACACGACATACTTTTTTGTTTTGAATTTTCATAACTCAAAAATAATAAATGACGAGATAATCTAACTTACCTTATTTTCCTAGGGTTTTGGGCTATCCTAACCGTTTCTCTATCTATCTATCTCGTTTCTCTATCTCCACGACAGCCACGTTTTTTGAAATTCACCATGATGTCTCAAAAGAAAGGTTTGGAGATGGATCAGGTGATTCTCGTATGTGGCAAATGGATTTTCGAGAATAACAAATGGTCGTTCACCATTGATACAAATTGAGGATGTCGAGTTCTGGAAGCTAATAGGGAAACCAGTTACTCTCAATGCATTCGAATGGTAATGGAGGATTACGGAATCGAGAATAGAGGTTGTGATGTTGTGTTGAGTTACAAGATTTTGAAGATGTTGTCTCAGAATCTACCGGATGATACACCACCCGTTATTGTTACTAATTCAAGATAGTTTCACTCTTTTTTGGGGCAATTGAAGAGCGATACAATTCGACTTTGTGTTGAAGTGAAGAAGAAAGTTACAATTGAAGCTAATCAACCCAACATCGATGGCATCGTTGATAGTACCTTGCAGAGAAAATGAACAAGAATTGCAAACGAGTTGGTTAAGGAAGTTACGGATTTGATTAATGAAGCTGTTGGTGATGACGGCGATGACGATGAAGAAACGAGATTTGATTACTGTGACGACTCTGACGGAACAGATTCTGATGATGAGAATTATAGCTTGTATGGGATTCCACCAGTTGTAGAAGAAAAACAAATACTGCCGTTGAAGAAAAAGAGTTCAGGTATCTATATTGAAGAACAAAAAGATGATGATTATTATGCAAAGTTTCTATTGCCTTATGTGGATTTGGCTGTTGGACAGTGTTACGAATCAAAAGAACACTTGGAAACACGACTGAAGATACTAACCGTAGTACAGAGATTCGATTTCTACGTAGACAAATCGACACATTTTCTTTTGATTGTCAAGTGCTTGATAAAAGGGTGTACGTGGAGGGTATGAGCTACGACACAAAGAGACTACCCAAAGTTTCATATTCGTGTTTTTATTTCTGAACACTCATGTTCAGTAACAGAGAGTTCTGCACGTGCCCGTCAAGCAACTCATGATATTCTTGAAGTATTATACAAGGATTTTGTTGGTGGAATTGGCCCCAAAGTATTGCCAATGCATGTTGCTGAATCATTGAATAAACGTTTTCAGATCAAGGTACAATACAAATTTTAATAATTTTTGGCGTTTTAAAACAAAAAGTTTTTAATGTTTAACAGAAACAGTAGTTTTTTCTTAATAGATGGATTATTGGAAGGCTTATAGAACGCTCAGGTATGCGCGAGATTTGGTAAGAGGAAGTCCAGAGAGTGGTTATGAGCAACTACCTACTTACTTGTAAATGTTAAGAAGGGTTAATCCGGGGACATTGACGAGACTTGAAGTTGATGAAGAAAAAAGATTTAAGTACATGTTTCTAGCCTTTGGTGCAAGCATGCTTGGATTTCCATTCATGAGGAAAGTGATGGTTGTTGATGGTACTTTTCTACAGGGAAAATACAAAGGGACACTTCTTACAGCAACAACTCAAGATGGTAATTTTCAGATTTTTCCTATTGCTTTTGCTGTGGTTGATACAGAAAATGATGAATCTTGGGAATGGTTTTTCAAGCAACTGAGCTGTGTCATACCAGATGACGAGGGCCTATCCATTATTTCAGATAGGCACAAATCAATTGCGAAAGCAATCAAGGTGGTTTATCCGAAGGCGAGTAGAGGAATTTGTACATACCATTTGTACAAAAATATATTGGTCCGTTTTAAAGGTAAAGAAACATTTGGATTGGTTAAGAAGGCTGCGAATGCATTCAGACAGGTAGATTTTCAAACCATATTCCATCAGATAGAAGTGGCGAATCCTGAACTACATGCATATCTAGATAGGGCTGATGTACGACTTTGGACACGTGTACATTTCCCCGGTGATAGGTATAACTTGCTTACAAGCAATATTGCGGAATCAATGAACAATGTGATGTCACACGCTAGGAGTTTTCCTATTACACAGTTGTTAGAAGAAATAAGGTCCATGATGACTAAATGGTTTTCAGATCGGCGGAGTGATGCGTTAAAAATGACTACATCTTTGACACGTGGTGTCGAGAAAATTCTGCAGGTATATTCTCATACTTTCAATCAATGTCAGTTAAACAAGTATATATGTTTCACTATTAACAATGTTATTCATTTTACAGAGCAGCTTTTTCTTTGACTGCAGCTTCCACCGGAGGCTTTGAGACTCCTCTCTTGGCAGCCTTTGTAGCTTCTTCTTTCAGCGGAGCCTTTTCAAACTTTTTCCTCTCAGCCTTTGAACCATCTTTCTTTTCAATTAAGAGAAGATCTCCAGATGTTTCACCTTCTTTCTTTACTTTCTTCTGAACAGTATAAGTTTTCTTCACCACTCTTTGAACATGCAAACCATCCACTGAAGATGGCTTCTCCTCTACTTTCCAAGACTGCAAAAAAAATTAAATGTTATCACAACAGTATTTTTATTCACCATTTTGCTTAATAAGATCAACAACTTTAAAACTCACCAAACTATAACTTGCAGGAGATTAACTCGATGCACCTTCATCTTCATTGTTGATGGAATTGGCGACTTGGGCAGTAGGTATTGAAGCTGGTTTTGCTTGTTTCAGTTCCTTCAAATCAGTCTCGACTGCTACAATCCTCGAGTCAAAGGTATTCTCCAAGTCATCGATCCTACTACTCAGATTCTTACCCATGTCTACAATACTCCCATTCATTTTTTCCATCATCAATAAAATATCAGAGAAGCCTTTCTTGTCATCCTTATCAACCTACATTCAATAAGATATTCAGATTTAAAAAAAAAAAGTTGAAGCACAATAAGTACATTACTATAAAACACAACTAATCAGGAATATGCATGAAAACATAACCTGTATATCTTCTGAGACTATCTTCTCGTCTTCTTTTTGAATTTTGACTCTTTCTTCGCCAGAAAATTCAGCCTTTTTGATCTTTTTCCCCTTCCGTGTGATACTACCTTCTTCATCAACAGTAGCTTTTACTTTGCGTTTCTTCTTAGACACACCAAACGCTGGCACACCTTTCCAAGCATCTAAAGCCAATCGATTATGGATGATGTCTTTTATCAAGTTGTCTAGTGTTGAATCCTTATCCTCCTCCGCATTACTCCATTGAGGGTACATGTTTTCTTCAGTTACAGGAATCATGTGTCTTACACGCACCTATATACAACATACAAAATGTTAAATAAAACAGCACCACCAATGAAATAAAAACTGCAGCTTAAATTAATAGGTTAGTGTTGCCATGACACTTAAAAAAAAATAAGAATGCACCTTAAGTTTGTGTAAAACAGTCATAACACTTCAATAAAATCATATTCTAAATTTCACATTATAGAGAAAGTACATGAAAAAGACACATAAAGAAGTTACTGCTTTGATACATAAAGACACAACATTTAAAAGATCAAAAACTAACCTGCCCATGCAGCTTCTTCTCGTTTTTAATGAATTCTGTTAGGTCGATATCCTTCCGAGTTGACTGCCAATCAAGAAGTGGAATACCAGTCAAGATAGGCCTTCTCAACCCATAACCCTCTCCTAATCCAGGGAAACTCTCATACACCCACATAAGCAAAGCGTGAACGCATCCTTTAATAACATAACCATCTTTATTAAAGCCAACTGTCTTAACCGATTTAAGTAGACATTCAAAAGCCACTCGTCCCCACGGATATTTCTCAAAACTCACTGGATCAAGAACTCTTATAGCACTAGACAAAGGAAATCTAGATCCGTGGTGCACTCCATGTATTGCCACTGATAATAAACACAACCTACCCACCATCATCCTCTCCTTTAAGTCCCATGCCTTGCTAAGATCCATCACAGTTCGCAACTCATTGAACTTTGGACCTTCTGAGATTGGTACTTTCATTGCCTCCCATAGCTCACGGTGATCAGCTTCAAACTTTTCCGACGGATCAAATGGATCGCAATTCAGTCCTGTTATAGCAGCAAACTCATTTAAGGAGAACCGGACTGGTCTACCATCAATCATAGACCATATCTCATGAAAGTTATCCACTTTCAACTGATTTGTGAGGAATAGATGTACTTTCTTGGCAGCCCATGTGTACTCTAGTTCAGCTAGCTTGATAAACACACCTAGTGATGATTTCTCCAATCCATCCCACACATCAATACCTAATCCTTCTCTGATTTGACCAATCTTGGACAGATAACAATTGTGGTTCATGCTTCTTTGTTGCAAAGGTGATTTTCCTTCTGCATATAGACGAGGAGGATATTTGAAGACATTACTCGAAGACGCCATTCCTGAAGATTATCAAAATAATAAATCAGCATATAAGAGGATTAATACAATCAGCTAATAAACAATTTAAAACAAATCTGATGCAAAACAAATTAATATACCAAAAGAGAATAAAGTGTTAAAACCTGTAGAATATTATGATTTATAACACAAGTGGTTACTGGTTTTTAGCACAGCAATACACTCGAGCATTATATAAGAAACAAAGCAAGCTAATGCTTAATATCTATGCATTTCCTCAACTCCTACCCAAAGTTCTCTAGAAAGAATGTCAGAACACAATAAAAGGTAAAGCACAACTCTAATAAGCATAATATAAACGACATAGTCTCAAGTTCAAACCAAGACCAGAGAAGTCATAGACTCAAGTTCACATTATTCTAGCAGAATATAAGCAAGCAAAAGACAATTCATAGACAGAGAAGGGCAAAACAAATTCTGCTCAAGGACCATAAAAGACACAGAGAGATCCACACAACATCCCTACTCCACACAAGTGTTACTGGTTTCCAGCACAGAAAGAATTTAAAAGCAAGCTAATGCATAATGTTTATGGCTTCCTTCAAGCAAAGCAACTCCACTAAAAGAAGACCCAAAGTTCTCTGTAGAGGATGACAATTAGATGATTGAAAACGCAAAGCACAACTCTAATAAGCATAATCTAAACGCCATAGTCTCAACTTCAAACCAAGACCAGAGAGAAGTTCTTACCAGTAGAGCGATTAGAAGATGCTCCTTGATCAGCTGAGATTTGGAAAAGAAAAGTCGAAATTAGAAACAAAACGAGAAATATGCATGAAATCATACAAGTAAAGCATCAAATCGCAACAATTTCTCAGCTCATTATCAGATTCTGAAACCTAAACCTGTGATTCGAACTACGCTTTATCACAAAATCAAATCCAGATAATTGAAGATCGATAGTAATCAACAAACAAACATATCGGAAACCTAAATATATGATTCGAACCACAGAATTATCACAAAGTTCTTCTTCACTCGTATCAGTTTATGGCTCGAGATCTTACTTGGAGGAGGTGGAATGGTGTAGCCTTCTTCTTCTTCTGTCAATTGAGAATAAAGACTTCGTCGATGGAGGAAGAACGCTAACAGTGATGGCCAGTAGCTCTGATTACACCGGCAAATCGAATGAACAGAACATTAGAGAAAGAGGACGTCGCAAAGCAGATACAGAGAGACTCAATCGGCGGTGGCAACCAAATATTAGGGTTTAGGGGAAACGCCGGAGATGACTGGAAGATAAGGAAGACGCCGGGAAGTAGAAGAACAAGAGAAGTTGGCGGCGGGTTCCCCAGAGAAAGAGCACCGTCGTCAATGGTTGCTTCTGTAATCGGCGGCGACTGCTGCTGTTCTGCTCGAACAAAAGAGCACCGTCTTCTATGGCTGGTCTTCTGTAATCGGCGGCTTCGAGTCTTTGTCGGAGTCGCGATTTCGATTTAAGTCTGTCGGACTCTTAGTTTTTTTTTCTTCTGAGGCTGAGGAATAAACGAGAAAGTCGTCCTTAGGGTTTTCTTTTTTGTTTTTGGTTTTGTTTTTGGGTTTTTTAATTTTAATTTAAATGTTATTTTGTTTGATTTTTTTCCTAAGACTAATAAAACTAAATTGGGTTTTTGGTCATTTAACACAAAATTTGTGTTAGTCTAGTAAACTATAAAACTAGGGTGTCAATCTAGTTATTAATCTCCAGATTTGAGTCAATCTGGGTAAATTTCAGTTAAAGTTATGGGATTATTTTGTAAGAAAACATAATGCGTAAAAAGGGTAAATGGTTTGTCTTCAGAGTTCTTAGATTGCGTATAAAATCCATGAACTTGATCAGAGATTAGATAATTATTTGAGTGAAACTTGTAAGTGCACTAAACAAATTTTCTAATAAAGAAGTTTTATTTTTTAGGAACCGTCATCTCAGTTTATGACTTAGTTTACATATATATATATATATATATCTGGAAAAATGTCAAAAAATGCGTCAACTTTCAAATTTGGGACGATTAAAGCATGAACTCTCAAAATGTCACTTTAATCACATAGTTTTTGTTGACTTTTCCATAAATAGCTAAGTTTTTGTTGACCTGACCAAATTAGACATCGCATTAAGTCTCTGTTAGAACGATGTTGACGCTGTTAACTTAACCGTTTAACTAAACGATGACATTTTCTTCAGAGACTGAATTGTCTCTACTTCTGATAGGCTCTTCTCTGATGGTATCAACACCGCTTCAATCTCCGATGGTATCGACACTTCATCACTCTCCGATGGGTTTTGAATTGTCTCCGATTCTTCTGGAATCTCAATCGTCTCAGGTTCTCGATCGTTTGCTTTGCATTCTTCCTCTACCAAAGCCAGCAGCCTCCGCGACCGACGAGAATTCCAATTTCCTTCATGCGTCTTCACTATCGGGATCAATAAGTAAGACGACGAGAGAATTTGAGTTTTTTTTTTTTTTTTTCTAGGGTTAGGGATCGATTTGGGAATGAAATCGATTTGGGGGTTTTGACATTCTTCTATGACTAAAACAACGACGTTTTCGTTTTAGAAAAACGTCGTCGTTTTGGTTAAACGGTGACTGTAAACGGCAATTTAACAGCGTCAGCGTCGTTCTAACCGGGACTTAACGCGATGCCTAATTTGGCCATGTCAACGAAAACTTTGCTATTTATAGGAGAGTCAACAGAAATTTTGTGATGAAAGTGACATTTTGAGAGTTCATGCTTTAATCATCCCAAATTTGAAAGTTGGCGCATTTTTCGACATTTTTCCCTATATATATTGATAGCTCTTGGATTTTTAAAATCAAAAACAGGCACCGTCAAACCTTCCATCGGAGACAGTATCGAAAGTCGGAGGATCATACCACAATTTCTATTTTTACTTTTTAATATGTATTTTTACCACAATAATTTTTTTAAAACTTAGTTTATTTTATTTTTATTTCCTCTTTTGTTGACGATTCTTTACTCCGACAGCATATATGTTTCGATTTCTAAGCGGTTTCTTTACTCTTCTTTCGTAATTATTAAAAATGTAAATATCATTTAAATTTTTCTATTGAAAAAAACTTCAGCAGAAATATTATTATCGAATACATATAGTCGATTAGATTATTCAGTCTTAATCAAACAATGACATTTGCTTTGAATACATTTACCGTAGTATACACCACTTGTAAGAACACAACATATATCACATTCGCCGTCCCCTCCCTTACACAGATCTGGACTGTAGCATTGTTTCTTCTTTATTCCTAAACCTATTGAACAATATATAATCATTAAACCAACATTAACAAAAAACAATCACTAAACTAATATTTACACATATAAAAACATAAGAATATGTGCATAATGTTGTAAACAAAATGAAAAGGAGTACCAAGACCAAGAGTGCTATCAGAGCAATGAACAGAAGATATGACAAAGAGGATAGTAAGGACAAATACGATCAACATTTTCTTGCTAGTAGTCATTTTATATGATTTTGTCTTAATTTTATTTTTGATGTTTTATGTTTTGGTTCAAATGGGTTTAAATATAAAATAACACAAACATAAGTAAAAGGTATTTTTGAAATCAAAATGAAAAAGCAAAAAAATATTTCACTTTAGCTTCTTATATTATAATAAGAAGAAAATATATAAGGTGAATTTCTTACCTAAATATATATATTTGAACATTAGTGTAATAATATTTAAGACTAAATGTGATTTGTTCATTCTTATTATATTCATTACTAAATGTGATATTGCATCAATGAAATATATATATATATATATATATCTATATATTATAGGATTTGCTATTATATATAAAAGATAGAATATCATTTGCTATTAAAAAAAAAGAGATTATTAAAAAAGCTTTAGTTATTCTCTACTAAACCTTAAAAGAAAATGATGATTATTACTATTTTTTAAAATGATATATTTCTATAAGAAAATTATACAATTGATTACTAATTTTTAAAAAATATATATATAATTTTCTTCTAGAAATATATCATTTTTAAAATTAGTAGTAATAATTATTTCTTTTCAGGTTTAGTAGAGAATAAAACTAAAGTCTTTTTTTAGGTAAAATGTTTTTTTTTTATCGGAGCATATACATATATAGATTAAAACATATTCTTATATTTTACTCTATCGTTTATATGTTTTTTCCTTTTATTTGTACACATAACAAAATCTCTAATTGATAGATTTGATACGTCTCACAATCATGTTAATTAATTACTAATTTTGTGCGTCTAATTATTTAACAAAAACAGAATTATTTGAGTGTAACCCATCCCAATCCTAATTAGTTGAGTGTTAAATGAATCATGAACTACATTGATTGGGTTAATCCATTAATCCATCAAATTTAAATTATCAGTTTAACCCATAAATTATCTCTTTTTGTTTAGTTTTTAGTTATGCAAATGTAAAAGCGGATGATTTCGCACGGAGCAATACTTGGGTTCATCTCTAGGTGTGAATTCTTTTATTCACCCTCTTTTATTTTAACCAATAAGAATTCGCCACATAATAAAAAAATTAAACTCATTTAATTATTAAATCTAATCCATAACCACTTTTTTTATAAACCCAAACCGATATATAATCTCGTTTAATTACAAAATCTAAACCATAATTCTCCTTTTTAAACCCAAACCGCCATTTAAACTCGTTTAATCGTAAAAAATCTAAACCCTAATCGTACTTTCTAAACCTAAACCGACATTTAACCTTGTTTAATTGGAAAATCTAAATCTGTTTATAAACTCAAATCGATATTTAACCTCGTTTAATCATAAAATCTAAACCCTAATCGTACTTTCTAAACTCAAACCGACATTTAACCTCGTTTAATTGTAAAATCTAAATCCGTTTATAAACCCAAACCGATTTTTAACCTCGTTTAATCATAAAATCTAAACCCTAACCCTTTCTAATAAACCCAAACCGATACATAATTTCGTTTTAGTGGTAAACTAGATTTTATAATTAAAAGAATTTTATTATTATGTGGCAGATTCTGATTTGTTGAAATAAAGGGGGTGAACCCAAGTATTTTTCTTTGGCACGAAGAGTTCGTACCGAACCGTATCATATCACTTATGTAAACAACATTCTTCATGAATGGAACCTTTCAATAGATTCAATTGTAGATGTTGACAAAAAAAGGTTTAACCAATAAATCTATTTAATTTCATATATCAAATGGTTAAGAGTTCGACCTATGAACACATAAATTAATCTATTTTTTTGTCAACGAACAAATAAACCAACTTTTAATAAATTTATCATCATATTTAGTAATAAATAATTGATTTTCGGAAATTCAAGAACTTAAAGAATCACATTATTTGTGAAAATTTTCTAATATTGAATTGTTAGTGAAAAATAGGTATATCATTTTAAAAGAAAAAAAGTTAAAACAATATAATTGGTTAACCTTACATCACCCATTTGGCATGTGTATAATAACCTTCTTCCTGAATTCGTGTTTGTCTGAGATGTTTGAATCATTGCTACTCCACCACAGAAACAACGTCTAGAGATCTCATAGTCACTGTTAGACTGTGTTAGTTCGTCCTCTCTTAAAGTCTGTCTCTAGGAGAAGGAACTTTGAGACATCATCACTATCATCAAATAAAGAAGGGGAGGGACACCAATATAAGTTAATGAGGTCACAAATTCTATATAATTTTGAATTGATAAAGAAATCACGTACAAAAACAAACTCGATGAAATTTATCTTTCTCAACAATCCAAATCTCAAACATAGACAAAATCAATGTAATTCAACCAGGGATGGCTCTACCCATGTGCGGGTGCTCATGCACAAGGTCCATCTAATTTTGTCTTTTTTAAAACTAAATTTATTAAAATTAGGGTCCAAATTTTTTTTATATATAAAAATACATAGGAAATTAGGTCCAATTATTTTTTCCAGCTCAGGGTCTTTAATTTTTTTGAGCCGGCCTTGAATTCAACTACATGAACTTTCAATCTTAAACAGGAAATCGACAAAACACTTACCAAATGAGCTTGTTCAGGAGACAAAAAAGAGCTTCAATTTAGTTATGTTCTCGACAGAGATGTTGATAAAAGAGAAAGACAATCCTATACGCTGCATTTTAGCTAGCTTTTGTAACCAAGATCACGAGGGTTAACTAATATAAAGCCTGATTTTCACCGAGGGTTATATTGTATGTGATTTTTGAATTAACGATAATGACCTGCACTTGTTTTACATGGAAAGTAAAGTTTTTAAAATTTGCGATTTTGAGTTTTTTTTCAGAAAACCCTATATATATTAAAAAAAAAAAAAAAGGTTTGATTGCTTCTAAACGAGAAAGAGGTTTTGTGTATTTCTAATTGTCTCTCTGCTGTGAGAAGAGAAAAGAAGAAGGAAGATGATGTCCGGTGGGGGCTACTCGAACATCGATCACCAGAAAGTTTCTGGATCTGTACCCGTAAGCTCTTTGCACTTGTCCATTGGATTGTATCCTCGATTCATTCTCCTTTGTTATCTCAATCTGATCAGATCTAGTTTCCATGATCCATCGTAGGCCGTTCCAGATCCTGGCCATGTCACCGTCAAATTCGCTGGTAAACAATTTCGTTGGATAATTTTTAGTTTGAATCGACGAAGTAGGAAGAGCTTAGAGGCATTTTTGTTTAGTGTGAAATTATTATGTTATTGTGAGATTTTTCTGGAATCTAGTCTTTTTAAGGTTTATAAGATTTGAATAAAGATAAGATTTAGCAATTGTGTGTGTATATTGTTCTGTGATTTGATTGAGAGGGATACATTGTAAATGCAGACTCAAATCTACAAACGTTTCCTCCATCTGCTACTCAGGGAAAGATTTCTGGTGGTACTAATCCTCCTCGAGATGTTGACGGTAATTTATCCTTTAGATTTGCTTAAGATTCTATGGAGTTTTGCTAGAATCCTCCAAGTTAGTTGAGGAGAAATGTATGATGTGCAGAAGACTTGTTAATCAACTTCTTTATGTTGATTGACTGAGTTTTTTATGTCTTAGCTTATTTTATAAACTTTCAACCGCTGCAGATACATTTTCGAGGCCCGTGAATGGTACAGATGAACCTCAGTCTGGTGGTTGGCTCCATAGATTCACTGTTGGTGCTTACAAGCCTTACTTTGATGTGGACACCTCAGATGTTGTAGAGAGACTCAAAGAATCACTCTTTCCGTTCAGAGGAACATTTACAGAAAAGACAGCCAACAACCCTGATTTGTAAGAGTCTCGTCTTTACAGTTTTTTTTTTTTTGCAAGGTGGAGATAAGTGGACTGATTGAGAAAGAATTTGCTGTGTGTATTACAGATACGGGCCATTCTGGATATGCACAACATTGATCTTTGTAGCAGCATCCATAGGAACATTTGTTACATACATAGCACACAAATTGAAGAAACAGGAATGGAACTACGACATTAATCTGGTGACTTGGTCTGCAGGAGTATTCTACGGTTATGTAACTATTGTCCCTCTCGCATTATACGTGGTTCTAAAGTACTTCTCTGCACCATCAGGCTTAGTCCAACTCTTCTGTCTCTACGGATATTCCCTATTCGTCTTCATCCCTGCATTGGTAAGTTAGTTTACAAATTCCTCTATTACTCCCAAAATAAGACATCCAATGTGAAAAACCCGAGACTAAGAAAATGCTGTTTCTGCAGTGTCTATCCGTTGTGCCACTAGAGATCTTCAGATGGGTGATCGCGGGTTTAGCTGGATTCATGTCTGCAACATTTGTAGCATTGAACCTCAAAGCACATATTAACTCTGCAGGAGAGAGATGGTTCTTGATTGTGGTCAGCATTTTTCTTCTACAGCTCGCTCTTTCAGTCGTGCTGAAGCTATATCTGTTCACTGTCACCGTATAAATTATTCCCTCAGGGGGAAGAAGCTATGATTTAAATCTGAATCCGTATAGAGCGTGAAAGCAAAGAGTTTTTATACCTTGAAGACTTTTCAGATTTTTGTAAAATTAGGGACTGAATCTGTTGCATGATTCTTTCATTTGTTATTATCAACATGAATATTATGATTATACTTAATAATGTAGTGTAAACTCAAGTTTCATAATTTGCTAAAAGTTTGGTGAAATTGATTCAAAAATTTAGCACATTTTCTTTGTTGTACTTAGATTACGTCTTCCATTTTTCATTGAAGCAAAAGTTAACAAGAACAATGATTCGCCAAAGAAAAGGAAAAACTACTACAAGAAATCAGATGATAAATAAAAGGTCCTGGTAAAATAACAGGAGTCCAAAAAAGATTCCACAAAATAAAGAAAATTTCTCGATGTGTTTCATCAATTTCAAGAAAACAGAAGAGTCGTTAATCATAATATATCAATCAAGCTTTCGATTTCTTCCCTTTGGTATCAGCAACTACGGGCTTGGCCTTGAAAGGCAAAAACGTCTCTCCACCCATAAACGGCTGCAGAACCTCAGGGATGTCCACACCATCCTCTCGCTGGTAGTTC